AAATATTGTTTTTAAAGTAAACTGAATAATTAGGAATACATTTATTTAAGCAACTTCTTTAATTGCATAGGCCTATTTGTTTTTTACTCCCCGCCAAGTAAATTTGAGTGCTTAAAACTATACTAAATAATGTAAACTGAGATACTATATATACATAGTTATGTAAATATGGCAATTATGCTAAGAATTAAAATGGCGTGTAATTGTGAGGAGGGTAATTATGGTAGGATTAAATGGTATTGCTAAATCCCACAAACATCCCAAAACACACTGTAGAAAACCAAACAATTCAATTGTGATTGACTCACAAGGTATATATGAATAAGAATATTTTTTGGTTAAAATGTTGATTTTTTTTTTTTGTGAAAAAGTACTTGAAAATACACCACAAACCTCCAAACACACTGCGAACCCCATCCAAACCCTTTATAATTATGATTGTAGAACACTCTTTTTCTAAAAAAAAAAAAAATAATTGAATGTTCATATAAACTCATTGTTTGTGGGGTTTACCAATACCCGGATTGAATTTCTGGAAAATCGTGATTCCGCATCCATGAAATTGGCCACAAATAAATTATTTTAGTATTAATAAATGCATGATTTATGTTGAATTACTGATTATGTTGTTGCTATTTAACATTTAAAAGGGAAAAAAATAAAAAGTGTTATTAACGGCTTTTTTTTAATCTTTGAATATTTTATCATTGAATATGTAATTCCTGCAAAAAGTAAAATGTAAATGGCAATTTATTTGATGTTAGATTCCTTTTAAAAACTAAATTATTTCAGTTAAAAAAATGCATATAATGATTTAAAAAAATCAGTTTTAATACAGAATTTTATTATTGGGGCCATTTTTACCTACCTGTCATTTGGGCCATTTTTGCCGGGGCCATTTTTTCCGGGGCCATTTTTCCTGGGCCATTTTTGCCGGGGCCATTCTTACCGTACACCGAAAAACGGGTGACAGACGATCAGGCCCAGACGGTCGGGCCCGTTTTGAAAAGTGGACCCGATAAAAATGCTCATATATACAATCTCCTGAAGTGAAACGAATAAACACTTAAACACTTGAAATAATGTGTTACCGGAATTGGGTGAGACGTCATGGTTAACCGTTAACTTTTATATTTGAATATCGTTTATCGATGCTTGACCTCGGTAAGCCTGTAGTCCTATATCTTATTGGTCTTGTTCTCTAACTACCAACACAATTTTTGAAATAGTAGAACTGTCTTCAATAGTTCCTCTTAATGATTATTATATTATAATAATGACGATATATACTACGATGATGATGACGATTCAATGGTGACGGCAATGGTTAGGAGATGGCTGCACTCACAGACGGATCCAGTAGGGGGCATGGGGGAACGTGCCCATCCCGTTTTGCCACTGAATTTTAAAATTTCGATGCATATATTGAAATTAGCGCTCTATCTATTCTTAATATGTCTCTTATACACATCTAGATGTGTATAAGAGACAGGAATCCGCCCCTGGCACTAGCATGCTTTCGAATTAATTACAATGTTTACTTGTGTTTCATCGAAGCTAAGTACTTACACGCAGAACAATAAAGTGTTGACAACATTCCATTCTATAATTCATGACATTTTTTTTAAATATTTAAAATGTGAAACAAAATACACCCAGATAGGCCTACTTGAAATTCCATGCGCCACCTCAAGTACTAGGCTACAGTACTATTAAAAAATAATAATTGCAATATTTAACAGGGCATTTAGAGTTATCGATTTTTTGTTAGATACGAAACTGTCGCTTCCTCTTATTGAAATGAATACATACTTGAATACTTCAATATAATACGTTACTGATACGTTATGATACGGTATCGTATTATATAGGTTGATGATAACGGAATGGAATGCCGTTCAAGCAACAATGCGATAACCATTGGACAGTCGATGATGAAAAAAGTTAATCGTCAATGATGAAAAGTGAACCATCAGTGATGAAAAAAAGTGAATCGTCGATGATAAAAAGTGAATCGTCAATCATGAAAAAGTGAAACCATCGATAATAAAAAGTGAATCGTTGATGATGAAACAAGTGAATCGTCGATAATGAACTTACGTACGTGACACCTACTTAACAAATTAAAAAATAATGAATTAATGAAACCATTCTTTTAAATGTCTCAGAATTACAGGCATATTTTGAGTTCCCATTTATAAAAATATTGGACGAGGACGTATCACGCTACAAAAGCAATACATGTGAGAATTATTCAAATTACTTATAGTAATACACTTGCGTAGACAGCTTCATGACTCAGGACTTTCAGTTATGGAATCTGTTTCGGTCAAATGAAGATTTTGGTTTACTTCTTATGTTAGGTGGTCACTGTACTGAGATCATTCTTATGTTTTCCGGAAATTTTTAATCATAGCGCACACAATATTTGATGAATTCTGTAGATCTTATTTAAAGAGTGCATGGGCATTAAGGCTACAAAATAAGTCTAATCCTGTAGACTGATGTTACTATATTTACTCATATTTTTAGTATCATACACCTGTATTATTATTGCTTATTACCACTATTATTATTATTATTATTACCGCACATGCCGTACTATTGTTATCATATCTATCCCTTGTAAAATTTTTAGAGTACAAGTTACTGTAGTACTATATATTATTCATGCATAGGTCTATCTGCAGCTCATCATCATGATTTATTTTGTCTATGTAGATAAACTATTTACATGTATGGTGCTTTTTATTTAATTAAATATTTCCTGGTGTTAATTTCCTTTTTATCTTCACTTTA